AATCCTACGGTACATTGTTATTTTTGCTTTGAACAGCTTAATTTAAGGAACTTTAAATATGAGAAAAGTCTCTTATATTTACACATACGCTACCATTTCAAATGCTGTGCTTCTTTCGTGCTGATCTAGGTTTTTATCTGGTATCGTTTTCTTCCATCTGAGAAACTTCTTTTAGGATTTGTTGTAGTGCAGTGAATTCTCTCAACTGTTGTTTCTCTGAAAAAGTCTTTCTTTTCATTTTTGAGAGATGTTTTTCATTGGTTATAGAATTCTAGGTTGACACTTTTTTCTCCAGCACTTTAAAAATTTTGTTCCATTACCTTTGGCTTGCATTTTGCTGATGAAAAGCAGCATACAGTAATTATCTTTGTTCTTCTGTGCGTACCGTCTTTTTTTCTCAGCCTGCTTTTAAGATTGTTTCTTTTTTTTTTTTTTAGACTATAAACTTTTCATTTATTTTGATGAAAAATTTCTATAATATACTAAAAAGAAAGTTTCAAGGGTCAATGAACTAGGAGTGGCTATTTGATCCCCACCCCCAAGACCTAAGTGGATCTGTCTTCTAAATTATCCTTTCCACTTTCTGAGTATTTGCTACTCACTGCTGCTTCTTCCTAATATATGTGACTGTGACATATCTCTACTGTTTTCTTCTTTTTTCTCTCTTTCTTTGCTCTTCTTTCTTCATAGCTCATCTATTTCCTCTTTTCTCTACACTTTAAGATTGTTTCTTTATGACTGATTTTCAACAAGTTGATTATGACATATCTCCTGGTGTCATTTTCTTCATATTTCTTCTACTTGGGATTTGTTGAGCTTCTTGGTCCATGGGCTTATAGTTTTCATCAAATTTGGAAAACTTTTGGCCATTATTCAAATATTTTTTCTATTTGCCTCCTCTCCTTTCTCCTTTTGGGACTCTGGTTACGTGATAAATTGGTTATTGTATTACAAGTCTGTCTCTGTTCACTTTTTTTAGACTTTTTTCTTTCTTCATTTTGGGTGGTTTTCTATTTCTCTATGTTTCTAAATTCATTCATCATTTTGTCTGCAGTGTCAAATCTATTAATTCCATCCAATGAAGTGTTCATTGCAGATATTTTATTTTTTATCTTTAGAATTCCCATCTTTTTCTCTATATCTTCTTTTTCTCTTTTTCATTACTTTTATGATTTCCTTTAGATCCTTGGGCATATATTATAGTATTTATAGTAGCTGTTTTAAAATCTTTGCTTATTCTGTTATTTCTGTCATTTCTATGTCTGTTTCTATTGACTTATTTTCCTCTTATTTATGGGTTATATTTTTCCTGTTTCTTCACATGTACAGTGATTTTTTTCTAAGAAGAGTAGCCTGTTGCCGGTATTTTTCTCTCTTTTTTTGCCCCCTCCCCGGAGCCCCAGTACATAGTTGTATATTCTAGTTCTCCTATGTGAGCCGCCAAAGCATAGTTACTGACAGGGGAGTGGTGTGGTTCCGCATCCAGGAACTGAACCTGGGGTGCTGAAGTGGAGCGCACTGAACTTTAACTAGTAGGCCATCAGGGCTGGCTTACATGATTTTTTTTTTAATTGGATGCTGCACAATGTAAATGTTGTATTGTTGAGTGTTTGGATTTTATTGCCTTCTTTAAACCCTGTTGAAGATTTTTCTGGTCAGATGCTTAAGTTACTTGTAGATCAGCTTAATCTTTTTCAGGCTTATTTAAAAGTGTTTTTATGGTTTGTTTAGATTAGCTTTTTGTTTAGTTCTAGGATAGTTCTACTACTAAAGACTCTTTTGGGGATGTCTGCTAAATGACCCCCATATTCAGTGAGATCTCTCCATTCTGGCTGGTGGGAACTCGATCAATTCGCAGCCCTGTGTGAACTCTGGAAAGTATTCAGCTTACACTTTCTCCTTAATGTTCTTTCCCCTGACAGTTGCTCTTTGCCCAGCCTTGTGGACTTTCACCCTCTGCCTGAGCAGATTTGTATTCCCCTAAAGACTTATAGGGTCCCCTGGGATGATTTTTGGATTTCTTCTTATGCATAGCTTCTTCTTCTCCAGTACATTGCTCTGAAAATTGTAGCTGCTTCCTAGACCTTTGATCTCTGTCCTCTCAACTCAGAGACTCTTGGGCTCTACTTAAATTCCCCCTCTCTTCATAGTCTGGAAATTGCCTTTCGGCAGAAAGGTAGAGCCCTCACAGGGCTCACTTTATTTATTTCCCCCTTTCAGAGATCCCAGTCCTGCACTGCCAATTGTTTAATGTCTGAAAATAGTTGTTTCATATATTTTGTACACTTTTTTAGCTGTTTGTGGTAGAAGGGCAAGTCCTATAGCAGTTATTTTCTCATATGTAGAAGCAGACTTCTATTGTTTAGTTTTAATGGCTTTTGAACTTTTTCTAAATAATGATGGCATAGTATATGTACTCTTGCTTTTTTCATTCAATATTATGTTATTAAGATTCATGTTTTTACATGTAGCTATAATTCGTTATTTTTCCCTGCTTTATTATATTCTTCTGTTTGTTTATACTGCTGTTAAATTTTCCATTCTCCTGTTGTTGGTATTTGACTTCTTTCTGGTCTTTTGCTGTTAAAGACAGCTGTGCTATAAATATTCTTGTATGTGTCTCCTGGGGGTATATCTAGGAATGGAATTACTGGGCCATAGGATATGTGAGTGTTCAACTTTAAAATATAATGCTAAAAAAAAGATAATGCTAAATTGTTTTCCTAAGTGACTGTAAATTTACACTCCTGTCAGTGCTGCATAAGAGATCCTGTTGATTTATATCTTCTCAAGATGCGGTACTGTCAGACTTCTTAATTTTTTGTCAATCTAGTGAGTGTAAAATGGTATTTAATTTTGTTCTTGATTTGTGTTTCTCTGATTACTAGTGAGATTGAGAATCCCTGTGTTTGTTTATAGGTAATACATTTTTCTTCCTCTGGTGACTGGCTTTTGATTTAGTTGGGATATTAGTGGTTCTAAGTATAGAGCCAGAACTTAGAGGAATGAAAAATTAGAGGGAGAAAGAACCAGTTTTTGTTTGTTTGGGTTTTTTTTGTTTTGAAAACCCCACTGTTCATAGAGAAATCTTCCTTTTATCTTGCAAAATATTCTATCCATGTAGTACACTTTATAAAGACCTAGAAATTCAACAGAAAGATATTACTTGGGTTTTCTTCAAAGTTAGATAGAAGTATATTTTTTGATATGTTTTTGAAGAATTTGAATATTTGAGTTCCTAGAAAACATATGTTTTAAATAACAAAACTGGAACCCTCCAATCTTGAGTAGTTCAAGAGGCAGGACCTTAATTTGAGTGCCTTTTTTTAAGAAACCAGTTACAAGTAATGTTGGAGTCTATTAAGGAGTCCAGTAATGATGCCCTTCTTTACTGATTTGGTTCTGGACCAATGGAGAAATAAGACAAAGACTAAGATAGTTGGAGGCCAAAATTTTACCTTCGTTACTGATAAAGTCTAGGTTGGGAGACTTCATTATATCTATTTGCGAGCAAATGTACTTTCCCTTGAACTTCAGAATTGGACAGATATACATGCCCATTTGTTAGACTGAGCTGTGTGTGAGGAGTACCTGACACTATAGGAGCAGCTGTGGATATGTACTTCCTAAGAGGAGATTATCTCTCAAGAGAAAGAAGGGAGATGCTCATTGAAGCACATTCTGTTTGTTCTTCCTAAATTGCCAATCTGGTAAGTCACTCCACCTCTCCTAGGGCCTCTGAGAAAAGAGGCAGAGAGAGGCCAAGAATATTATACTAATTCAGCTGCCTTCATGTAGAGTGGGGAAGATGTGTTTATCTACTAACAAATATGCCTTTTTATTAATATATATTTATTGAGTATTAAGCAAGTGTCTAGCACTATGCTTGGTGTTTTGGAGTATAAAACAAATATTAGATGGGATCTCTGCCATTTGAAAGTTGACAGTATGATTATGGAGAAATTATTTATCCATATAATAAAAATAGCTCATATTTGTATAGTTCTTTGTAATGTACTTTATACATATTGTTCTTCCCATTTTAACGATAAGGAAAGTAAGGCTCAGGAAAGTAATGTGACTTGTCCATGATCACATGGTGGGACTTGATTCAGGTATTCTAACTCCAGATTCTGCTTTTTTCCCATTGCATCATGCTGCTTTCTGAGAAGAACAGTTTTACTCTATGAGATGGTCTATGACAGGTCCCTCATACAGTAAAGGCCAGGGTGGTTCAGACAAGGGCATCTCTGTGGACTTGGGGCAGTCACATCAGGGAAGGCTTCGTGTAGCAGGGTGGACTTGAGCTGCTTCTTGAAGGATAGATTATGGATAAGTAGAGAGGGTATGAGGAGAAGGTGTGCAGACAGAGGCCAAAGGATCCGTGGAAGGTGGGTGTGAGAGGATTCTAAGGAGACTTGTCTGGCTGTGCTGCAGGATCCATGTTGGGGAACTGTGTGGGAAAAGTGTGAATGAATTGGTGGTGTAGATCATCCATCTTTGGAAAGCTTGGTAGAGAAAGTGTATGCCTCCTGCAGAAAGCATCAAGGAGCCATTCAAAGCTCTTGAGAAATAACATGATTTAAACAATCTTCTGTCTACATTTTCGTGCCCTTTATACATCTTCTGTTCCTAGCTTTATTTGACTTCTTTCCTAGCTATATGATTTTTGGTGGTGGTTTTGTTTTTATCTTACAGTTTTATCTTCTGAATTTAGTATATCACCTTTTATTAATCCAAGAAATCCTGCCTTTTCGTTCTTTTTATTTTCTAAATTAAACCCTTTATTTTTTTCATTTTATTATATTTGCTGCTACTCTAGTGTTTTATAATTTTAATTTGAGCAGCTGTCTCCTCCTTTGCCACTTTAAAGACAGTATATTTCTTTAGAACAGTATATAAGTAACCTGTCACTTCTGTGCTTGATTCGTGGTTTTATTCTATATTTTCCCTTTTTAACTAAGCTTAAGAAATAACCAATTTCTTTCTTTGTCTTTCAGGTCCTACCTCGAACACAAGACCTCCATGAACTATATGCTGGCGACACGTCTATTCCAGGACAGGTGAGGATTTGCTAATCTTATAAATTTAGTAGAACTAGATCATAAAATTAGGAGAAAGTACATGCAAAAGAAGGAAAGAGGCTTTCTAGGCTTTATAAAATCTTCAGTAAAATCTGTGATAGAAAGGGCCTTGGAGAAAACACACTGTAATACCTTATTTTTTCAGAATTTATTAACTCCCAGCACTTTGTAATATTTTCAGAGGCCACAAATTAAACCATAAGGGTCTTTAAGCAATCTTGACAGATGCCCTAAACTTTATTCTTCTTAAAGGAAAGCCCTTACTCAGTACCTTTTTACTTTAGACACAATTTTAACAGACATGATTGTCTGTTTTTCTAGATTAGAAGAGATTATAATGATCAGGTTAGAGAAGGTAGAGGGGAGGTAATTCACAAAATAAATACAGTGAGAGTTGTAAGAAATGACAACTGATAACCTTAACACAAGGGAAGATAGGAGGAAATGATGGAAAACAGACACTGGAATTCAAATAGCATGACAATCAGGGTCTGTCTAGTCCCACACACTCTTGTTGCCCCTGAGGTATAACTGCATTACAATACATTTCAGTAATTGACTAACAAAATAAGGAACCTTAGTTATTTTGAGAAATCTATATTATTTTCAGGATATATGTACTTTTTTGCAGGATTCTTTAAATAGGTACCCAGATTTCATCTGTTTCTTGCAATCTATTATCTATTATCAGGAAATATATGAGATTTGCAGTTTCTCTCTATAAATCTCTGGTTATTACCATTGATTAAGTAGTCACAATGTGTAGCTTCTATGAAAGAGATCTTCAGATTTACTTACAAGACACAGAAGCTCAGTTCTTTATATATAACCTGCCCCCTCCGCCCCCCGGAAACTTTTACAAGGCTCCTTTGTCTTTAGAGTTCAGATAATTTACCAAGATGTTATCTGCTATGTTACCTTTCATTATTTTGATTTTGCAGTGAATGAGTCCTTTCAGTCTGAAGATTTAAGTCTTCCAGTTGTGGGAAATGTTCCCTCATCCTCTCTTTCCTCTCCTTGTGGAACTTCTGTTAGATGAATTTTGGATCTTTTGCTATATCGTTGTATTTCTTTACTTTTTTCTCATACTTTTGATCTCGTTGTCTCTTAGCTTTAAATTCTGGGACATTTCTTGAACTTTGTCTTCTAAAACTCGAAATTGATCTTCAGCCCTATCTATTTTGTTATTCAGTACCAGCACAGGAGAGAGTTGTTCAATTTACTTTTTTTCTTTTGGCAAGTATGATTTTAATATCCAAGATCTATTTTTGCTTTCTGACTAGTTTTCATAGTTTATGGATGTAATTTTTTTGTGAGTATGTGAGGAAGATCAGCCCTAAGTTAACATCTGATGCCAATCCTTCTCTTTTTTTGCTGAGGAAGATTAGCCCTGGGCTAACATCCGTACCCATCTTCCTCTACTTTATATGGGACGCCGCTACAGCATGGCTTGACAAGCGGTGTGTCGGTGCACGCCCGGGATCCAAACCTGCAATCCCCGGGCTGCCGCAGCGGAGCACGCACTTAACCGCTACGCCACTAGGCCGGCCCCGGATGTAATATTAAAATGATTCTGGTACCAATTCCAGGAGTGGGGGCAGGTTTCCTCCCCAGCACCAAGCAATTGCACCCTGTTGGTGTTTGAGAATTCAACTCAACTCTGATACTATCTACCTGGAGATTAGCATCAGATTCCACAGTTTAAGGGTTCAGTCCTATAAGACTCCTCCCCCACTTCAGATGCCACTCGCAAGCCCAGGTTGTCACCTGTGCTTCTGCCTGACTGGCTACAGATTGAAGGTTCCAACGACCCCCTTCTTTGGACTTCAATTCAGACCTCAGTCAAAAGTCTAGGTTGTTACCTGTACTTCGGACTGACTGGCTATAAATCAGAGGTTCCCACGACCCCCTCCTTGGGTTCAGTTAATTTTCTAGAGTGGCTCACAGAACCCAGAGAAACATTTTACTTACTAGATCACTGGTTTATTCTAGAAGGATATAACTCAGGAACAGCCAGATGGAAGAGATGCATAGGGCGAGGTATGGGGAAAGGGCACAAAGAAATTTTTTTATTGTTATATTACTCCTAGGAGAATGCTTCATTCAATAACAAGACCCAACAGTGGGTCTGGTAACCACCATAATTTTAAAAGTGTGATAAGTGTTGGCAGTATTTTATAGACACCTGTAACAACTCTTAAAGTAAAATGAAAAAAGATGTGCTATTTCTTTTGGTAACAAAATCACACTTATACTACGGTGGAGGGTTTCCTATATGTATATGAAGGAAATGCTAAATATCAGAGAATTAATTTTTTTTCCATCCAAGTTGGTATACTCCCTGAATTCTTTCTTCAGGCCCTGGTAACAACTCCTGCTTATAGAGCATTCTAAAAACTTTGATTAAAAAAATATGAATTTCCCTCTTTAGTGAAGAAAGGCCCTCATGATTTACTCTTGCCTAGCTTTTTAGCCTAATCTCCACTTTTCCACATCAACCCACGGCCAGTCAGACCATATCTACTTGCTTTTTCATGCCTTCTTATCTTTACATACTCGCCATCCCTGGGAATGGCCTTCAGTTCATCCCTAAATTCTTCTAGCTATGTCCTTCATCCTCTTACCCATACTAGGAGGAGGTTCTCCCAGCCCTTCTCATCCCTCAGTCTGATTTAGATTCTCATATCATATCATAATTGCCTATTCACTAACTACTCTACTTTACAAGTTGACTTAAAGAGTAGGCACTTGGTTATGTTCATCTTTGTCAGTATCAAGAACCTACCACATGGTAGGCGCACGTGCAAAAACATGCATTGAAAACATGAAATTGTGTTTGTTGCAAGCCTTAACATCTTCTAGTAAGTTTGTTCTGTTCAGTTGGAATTGATGTTTTTCCTCTTGCAAATCTCATTGTATTATTGTCAGAATTACTTTCAAACTAATTCTCTAATCATTTCTTTTAGGTTAATTTTATCTGCTTTCTCTGCCCTTCCCTGCTCATCCCCCACTTACCTATCCTGCCCTGGCAAACAGTATCTTACCTACTGTCTTACAGTATGACAGTAGTTTTATAATTTTTATTTATTTATTTATTTTTCCCCCAAAGCCCCAGTAGATAGTTGTACGTCACAGTTGCACATCCTTCTAGTTGCTGTATGTGGGACGCGGCCTCAGCATGGCCAGACAAGCGGTGCGTTGGTGCGCGCCCGGGATCCGAATATCCAGACCTCCCATATCTGGCTTTTTGTTTTACATTTAAGAATTAACATAAACTTGGTTTCTCATCAAAATCTTTTGAAGCATAAGTCTAATTTTTCTTTAAAGAAGGAAAACATTGTGATTGCCGTTTAATTAAGGGAAAACTGAGAGAAATCACGCGGGCCGCCAGCAGCGGAGCGCGTGCACCCAATCACTAAGCCACGGGGCCGGCCCAATTTGACAGTAGTTTTAACCCTGGCTGCCTATTAGTAACACCTGGGGATCTTATAAAGCATATTTATGCCCTGGCTCCACCCCTAGATTGAAGTATTGGTACTTACTAAAAGCTGCCCGGGGAATTGTGATGTGAAGCCTTGATTGCAAATTACTGGAGCAGACCGTTATCTGATGAAAAGGTTAAAATCATCTTGAGACTTTCTGATGATAAGGTGACAGTATTAGGACACTGGCATGAATAGAAGACATGGGAAGGGAAAGACAAAAAATTTTGGTGAAGACAAACTCTTTGCTTGATTTTCTATAGACAGAAAATCTTGATATTGATTGTATCTGTCTCTTTTAAACAAACCAACACCAAAGGTTACATGCTGTGTGATTCCATTTATATAACATTTTTGAAATGATACAGTTTTAGAATGGAGAACAGATTAAAGGGATCCAGGATTAGATAAGAAGTGTATGGTTAGAACAGGCCAACACAGGGGATCCTTATAGTGATGGAAGTATTCAGTATCTTTTCTGTGGTGGTGGATACATGAACTTACACAGTGATAAAATTGTACCGAACTGAACATACACATTCACAAATGAGTAGAGTAAAGCTGGGGAAATTGAAAAAAAAAGAAAAGAAAGAGTGTTAAGTGAAAGGAAATTGAATGAGGAGAGAAAGTTTTAAAAGAAAAACAAAAGCCAACTCAAACATGAATGGCACTCACTTCCTGTGGTTGAAGCCCAACTGTAGTTTAGAGATAAGGAAGAGCGTCTCTTTTTTGAAGAGATTTTTTTTTTTATTGTGGAGAACCTGTTTCTCGTGAGCAGTCTGTGTGAAGCCCATGAGAATGGAGATTGGTTTCTTTTCCTAATACAGTTCAGTGAAAATATAAAGAGCACTGGAGTCTGAGACCTAAGCCCTGAGTTCAAATTTAAACCCATTAAGCTCCAGCCTTGGGCATGTCACAAAATGATCGTATCCTGCTCCTTTGGGGCTAATAATAATCTTATTCACATGATTGTTGTGAAGAATAAGTGTGATTTGATTTGTGACTAGCTATATAAATGCAAGTAATTGTTATGATTTTTCTCCAGAATTCATTTGTCCTTTCCCTTTTGTTTTTTATTGATCCTCCCTCAAGCTTAGGTACTCTATTCTTTTCTGAGCATGTTCTCAATTCATCTGTCTGCTTCTCCCCCAATGCGCCTTCCCTGGCATAATTCCATGTTGAACCTCTGTAATACAAATCTCAAGAGTGTATGTGTATGAACTCAGGGGAAAATATCTGCACAGTGCTCTAACCCACTTGTCCTTTCTACTTCTGTAGGGGACACCCAAGAAGAAGCTTATTGACAGGAAGAACACGGTAACTGATTTTTGACAGTTGGGAAATTCTTTCCGTGTGCATAATGTGTGACCGTGCACGGACTAAGCATGATACTTTATATGACTATCTTCAGTTTGGCTCAGCTTGAATAGTAACATAAAAATGTTTCCTATAGAAACACTATTCTGTGGCAACTTTGGGATTTACCTTTTTATAACTACAGGTATATCATTTCAGCTGATAATAGTAGTATCCTTGTTTGGCTGTGTGAGAGAGGTCAAAGTATTAATGAGATTTCAAGACTACTCTCATGTTAGATTCAAATAAGAGGTTACGTTTTGGCCTTGACATACCTGGGGCATACAGCTCTGCACTTCACAGGACTGAGTAGAACTGCTTCCAGTTTGCCACGGAACTAAAGTGTACAAAATACTTGTGCCTCTTCATTTTGGCAGAGGAGAGAAAGGTCTTAGAGGAAGGGCTGGGATAGCCTTGCCCAACTGAAGATTGCAACCCAAACAAAAGGTCTTAACCCTAAACATACCCTCTGGTTTGAGACATGACATGCATCCCCTTTGTGCTGAATTTCTTTAAAAAGCAAAGTGACAACAATAAGGAAGAGACCTCCCATATCTGGCTTTTTGTTTTACATTTAAGAATTAACATAAACTTGGTTTCTCATCAAAATCTTTTGAAGCATAGGTCTAATTTTTCTTTAAAGAAGGAAAACATTGTGATTGCCGTTTAATTAAGGGAAAACTGAGAGAAATCACGTATGTAGCTTGTTTCCAAATGAAAGTCACACTTAGTTTATAAGTTTTCTCCAGTGTTTAGTCAAGGAATGTGCTTCCTGCAGTATACTGCTATCAATTTGGAAATTAGAAAAAAAGTCTTAAATGACAAGAATATTTAAAGATCAGTAGGTTCTGTCCTTCATTTTCTGGCACTCATTTTATATTGCCATCAGTAGGGGTTTTTTGGTGGTATAGAGATGTAAGCAAATGAAAGGTGGCATATGATTGACCATATGCTGGAGTGTGAAACATTTAAAATGTCTTAATGCATTTAAAAGGATTAAAATCATACAGAGTGTGTTCTTTGACCACAATGGAATTCAAAATTAATAACAATAGAAAATCTCCAAATATTTGGGAATTAAACAACACATTTCTAAATAATCCATGGGTCAAGGAAAAAATCATGATGGAAATTAGAAAATATTTTGAACTGAATGTTAATAAAAGTATAATATTAAAATGTGTGAGATGTAGCTACAGTAGTATGTGTGGGGGGGAGTGGGGAATTTACAGCTTTAAATGCTTATATTAGAAAACAGGACTAAATCACTGATCAGTGTTCCATTTTATGAAACTAGGAAAAGAAGAGTAACCCAAAGTAAGTAGAAGAAAGGAAATAATAAAGGGCAGAAATCAATTAAATAAAAGACAGTAAGGAAAATTAGTAAAATCCAAAATTGTTCATTGATAAGATAGCAGAATTGATAAACTCTTAGGTAGGCTGATTTTGAAAGAAGAGAGACCACTAGTTACCAGTATTAGGTAGGAAAGAGTGGATATCACTATAGATCCTACAGACATAAAAAGGATATTAAGGGAATATCATTAACAACCTTATTCCACTACTTTAACAACTTAGATGAAATGTCTGAATTCCTTGTGGGGAAGAAACACTTAGCAAAACTGACACAAGTGGAAATAGAAATTTTGCATAATCCTGTATCTATTCAGAATATTGAATTTAAAGTCCAAACCCTTCCTACAAAGAAAACTCCAGGCCCAGTAGTTTCACTGGTGAATTCCATCAAGCATTTGAGGAATAATAACACCAATCTTACACAGACTCTTTCAAAAATATTGGAAGGGACACTTCCCAATTCATTTTATGATGCTAGCATAACTATGACACCAAAACCTGGCAAAGACATTAAACAAAAAAAAGAAGAAGAAGAAAATTACAGGTTAATGTCTTCATGAACATAGACATAAAATTTCTTAAAAGAATATTGGCAAATAGAATCTACCAGTATATAAAAAGGATAATACATATGACTACAGTGAGATTTTTCCCAGTAATGCAAGGTTGGTTCAACATTTGAAAATTAGGCAGTACAACTCACCATATTAAATAAAGGAGAAAAAACAGATGATTATTTTATTAGATGCAAAAAAAAAGCATATGATGAAATTCAACACGTTTATGATTAAAACTCTTAGCAAATCAGGAATAGAAGGGAACTTCATTAATCTAATAAAGGCCTTCTATGAAACACCTATTTCTAACATCATACTGAATGATGAAATATTGAAGCCTTTCCCCCTATGTTTAGTGATAAGGCAAGATGTCCACTCTCACCACTTGTATTCCCTTTGTCCTAGAGGTCCTAAGCAGTACAATAAAGCAAGAGGGGAAAAAAAGAAATAAAAGGCATACAGATTGGAAAGGAAGAAGTTAAATGTTTTTATTCTTAGACGATGTGATCAGGTTAGTAAAAATTCCTAAGGTGTCTACAGAATAACTATAAGAACATAGAAATGCACTCGTCTTGGGATACAAGGTCAATATACTAAAATCTGTTTTGTTAATATACTAGCGGTAAATAATTGGAAAATGAAATTTGAAATTCCATTTACAATAGCATTTTAAAATATGAAATTCTTAGGGATAAATTTAATAAAATATGTTTGATACTTATACAGTAGAAGCTACTAAATGTTACTAAAAGAGATTAAAGAAGATCTAAATAAGTGGAGAGATGTTATGTTCACATATTAGAAGATTTACTGTTGGGGCTGGCCCGATGGCATAGCGGTTAAGTGCGTGCGCTCTGCTGCGGTGGCCTATGGTTCGCAGGTTTGGATCCCAGGCACGCACCGACGCACCACTTGTCAAGCCATGCTGTGGTGGCGATACATATAAAGTAGAGGAAGGTGGGCACGGATGTTAGCCCAGGGCCAATCTTCCTCAGCAAAAAGAGGAGGATTGGCAACAGATGTTAGCGCAGGGCTGATCTTCCTCACAAAAAAAAAAAAAAAAAAAGATCTAGTATTGTAAATATCCATTCTCCTCAAACTAATCTAAAGATCCAGTGCAATCCCAATCATTTTCTAATAGATTTTTGTAGAAATTGACCAACTGTTTTTTTTTTAATTTATATAGAATTGCAGAGGACTTAGAATATCCAAAGTCATCTTGAAGAAGACTTTGAGTACTTGACTTAAAGAAATACTATAATGCTATAATAATCAAAGCGGTGGCAAATCGATCAATGGAACAGAATAAAGAGCCTGGAAATAGACCCATATTTATATGATCATTTGACTTTAAACAAAAGGCCTAAAGTAATCTGTTGGGAAAAGGAAACTTTTTAACAAATGGGCCTGGAATTGGGAATCATATTTTTTAAAAATGAACCTCAACCCCTGTCTCCCACAAAAATTAGAGATGATTCATAGACATAAACATAAAAGCTATTACTATAAAACTTCCTGAGGAAAATATCTTTGTGACTTCAGGCCTGGCAAAAGTTTTTAGACATAACACAGAGAGCAATAAGCAAAAAGGAAAAAATGATAATCTAGATTTCCTCAAAATTAAAAACTTTTGTTTATCATAAAATACTATTAAGAAAATGACTAGGCAAGCCATAAACTGAGAGAACATATTCATCAAACACATCTATGCAGGGACTGCTATCTGGGAAATATAACGAACTCCTACAACTGAATAATTAAAAGACAACCCAGTTACAAATGGGTAAAATGTTTGGACATTTCAAAAGGAAGATACGTGAATAGCCAATATGCTTATGAAAATGTGCTTACAACATTGGTTATCAGAGAATGGCAAATTAAAATTATGAGATACCAGTAACTTCCAGCAGAATGGCTAAAATTATATCAAATCATCATGTTGTACACTTTAAATATCTTACAGTTTGTCAATTAAACCTCAGTAAAGCTGGGGGAAAAATGACTGACCACATCAAATGGTGAGGATGTGGAGCTAATGGAACTCTGATAAATTGTCACTGGCAGCATAAACTGGTACAAGAACTTTAGAAAAGTCTGGCAGTCTGTTAGAAAGCCTAGAAAATTCCACTCTGACATCTTTACCCAGAAGAAATGAAAAACATAACTATAAAATGACTTGTACAAAAATGCTCATAGCAGCTTTGTTCATAATATTCCAAAACTGGAAACAACCTGGATGTCCAACAACAGGAGAGTAGGTAGACTGGCGGATTATTCATACAGTGGACTAATCCTCGGCAATAAAAAGGGATAAATACTGATACAATATGGATGAATCTCAAAAACATGCTGAATGAAAGGAGACATGCACAAAAGAGTTCATACGTATGATTCCATTTTTGTGAAGTTCTGGAACAGGCAAACCTAATATGTGATGAAACAATTCAGAACAATGGTTTAAATTGAAGTGTGAGGGAGGGATGGACTGGGAAAGGGCATGAGAACTTTCTGAGGGGATAGTAATGTTAGAGTTTGGGTTATATAGTTCTAGGCGTTTGTCGAAACTCATCAAATGGACATTTAATATTTGGGTATTTCACTGTGTGTAGTATTTAGCTCACCAGAAAACCCAAAAAACCAGAAAACAACAACCCCAAAGCCCTATAAAACAAATATTGAATTCCAAATACTAATGCTATGCACGTTGAAGTGTTTAGGAGTGAAGTGCACTGACATCTATGTGCAGCTTTGAGATGCTTTAAACGTTAGGTGGATTGATGGATGGATAGAAGAATGGAAAGTTGGATATATATGTGATCAAACATACAGTAAAATGTTCATTGTAGAAACTAGGCGGTGAGTATATGGATGTTCACTGTGTAAATCTTTAAACTTTTCTGTTTAAATATTTTCGTAAGATATTGGAAAAATAAAATGAAGTGGATGTAGCTAAAAGGTATTACAACTTATTTATAGGGAATTCAATTGTTGATTAATTAAAAAACATTTATGGTATGTCAGCTGTGTGCTGGGCAGTCTCATAAGCACCACTGATCCAGTGATCAACAAGATGAGCATGGTCCTTGCCCTCGTAGAACTATAGTTCCCATTAATCAGATTCACACTTTCCCAGCCTCCTTCCCTTGTACTAGTTAAGATTTATCTGTCTATTCAGAGTTTCTTAGAAGCTCTTAGTTGTTATTTAAAAATATCATATTTGTTTTATTTTCTTTATTATTTAATTGGCTAAAAAAATCTATTTTCAAAACCGTGTTGGGGGGGGGTGGAGGCCAGTGTTCAATTGTTGGGACTCCAATAAGCTGAGTTTGAACTGTTTTTAAAGTTCATGAATTTGCTTCCTGTTTCTGCCCCCAACTGACCTTCCCTGTTCTTGGCTCAATTTCCTGCTCTAAAGAGAAGGCCTCCAAAAGATTTACTATCTAGCCCATCCACCCAGAAATCCCTAAAAGTCCTAAATAGACCAAAAGACACAGCCTTTCCATCATTCCCAGAGACCGAAAACTCCCAGAGGAATAAAGATGATTCCTTGACCCCAAAGGGAATACACTTTCAGTTCTAGAGAGTTCAAGAGAGTTCAGAGCCAACCAGTTAGATCTTGAGTTCTGAGTATACGGAGTTGGCTGCTTGCTTTCAGACACTAACATAGATACTTGTTTTCTGACAATGACCAAGAACCTTTTCTCTCTTTGGTGACCTAGTTATCTCTACCTGTCCTGTACTTTGCCAGTCCTTGTCTGGATTGCACCTGACACCTGTCACTTCCCTAATTTGTGATTTATCTTACTTTGACTAATGCCTAATGTAGCTGCTGCCATCCCCTTTCCCCATCCCATTTCCCGTTCATGACCTGATGGAATTTGGCCTTATCCTACATCTACTGCCTTCCCTCGTCTGTGCCTCTGACTCTAACTCCAACTTCTGACCTGTACTCAATACCTGGCGAGTCCCCGCCGCCTCTCCCCACCTCCTTCTGTAACCAAGTAGGCTCTCAGGGAGGAGTTCCTCATGTTGGAATGCTTGAGACTTGGTGTATCCCAAAGTCTTGGCAACTTTTCGCTAAGACACTTTTGCTGTGAGTCTCCGTCAGCTCTGTGCTACCATATTCACAGATTATCAGCCATTCCTCCCCTCGTTTCAACCTCTGCTAAATCTGTGTTTATTAAATATTGTATACATTCAGAAGAATATTTGTATAATTCTAGGTTATAATGAATAACAATAAAGCAAACACCTCTAGCTGCCACCCTGCCTAAGAATTAAAATGTTTCCAGTATCTTCCAGTCATTCTTAAGGTATAAGGTATTGGGTAGCACTTTATGATCCCTGCAATAAATAGTCAGCCAGTTTTACTGAGTACTTAAAAATACTTAAACATTTTCTTCAGATATATTTTTGTTCACAACATGTAACAAATGCAGACAGGCCATTAGTGAAGTTTTAATGTAGATTCCAACATTCTCATTTATCTGTCAAACCGTTTAGAATTCACTAGAGTTACTATGCCCAGTCCGTCATCATTATAGGATTCTGTCAAGCTTAGCCTTGGAAGAAAGGAGAGAATTTTCTGACGCCTGTAGCTACCATATTGTTTTTTTCTAGGATGACTGCTGATGGAGCACCGGAATTGAAGGTAGAGAGTATGAATTCAAAGGCCAAGATACATGCTGCTCTTTATGAGAGAAAGCTCCTGTCTTTGGAGGTGCGAAAACGTAGACGTCGGAGTGGCAGATTGAGGTCATTGAGGCGAAAATACCCAGGTACCTGCTGGTGAGCTTTCACCAAACTCTGTTGTCCACATCCTGCCAGACTGAGTTAATCGGCTTCTTAATTAATACATAGTGAATCAGACCCTTCCTGATCACATATACTTAATTTTTTTGTGTAGTCTTTTTCCTCTCAAACTTAATTTGAAAAGGATTGTAAGTTTTTAAACCTTCCACTCTATAATATTTGTATGGAAGAATATCTGAAGCACATATATTTTGGCTTTTGTTCTTATTCCAGCATTACATAGGTAGCTGATAGCTTAGAAGTAATATTGGCTCAAGTTTAATGGAATCCTGAGCATTATTGTTCAGGTCTTTCATGGTTAGATATTAAGTCCCGTTCATCCTTTGACATTGCTGAATGGTGTAAATATTTTAAACATGAACGGACAAAGGGGAATTTCTTTCTCTTCCAGATTCTCCCCTGTTATAGGTCTATTTGTCACTGACTGATTGACTGACTTCCTTTTTTTCCCTCCTTCCCTGGTTTGTTGAGCACTTGTATCAGACACATTAGTGACTGGGGTTTCATCAGTGAATAAAAAAGAGATGGTCCTTGTCCTCATAGACGTTCCCAGGCAGTGAAGGAGAAGGATAATGAATAAACATAGGATAGAAAGATATTCCCTTGCTTTTTGTACCTCCATAAACAGGTGCCCTTCTAAAAACCTCTAACACACTCTAGAGATTACTCTACAAAGACGTTTTTTGCCTTAAATTGTGAGAGAGCCATTGGTACTATGATGAGAAACATCTCTAATGAAGATCACTAATAGATTTTTAGATTATATAAGATTGGTGAGTAACATGTGTATGCTATTAATTTTGTGTATTTGTGGTCTCATTTAGAAATGGGTTTTTACTAAAAGGATAAAAAGAAGGTATTGGGAGAGAGGAAAATTTAATCCTTTTTTCAGCAACATTAGTGATTCTTCGCATTTAGTGATTACCCAACCAGCTGAAATGAATGTTAAAACTGAGACAGAGAGTGAAGAGGAGGAAGAAGATGCATTAGACAATGAAGATGAAGAACAGGAAGCTTCCCAGGAGGAGTCTGCAGGGTCCCTTGGAGAAAATCAAGCCAAATACACACCCTCATTGACCATTATGGTAGAAAATTCACTCAAAGAAAATGCCGTGAAAGTTCCTGAATGGAATAACAAAGGTGAACAGTGCCACAAAATTGAGACTCAGGAATCAGAGCCTAAATTTAACTTGATGCAGATTCTGCAAGATAATGGCAATCTTAGGTATGTACCGTTTGTAATTATAATAGTAAAACTGATAACAGCTGAATTGTACTATGTACCAGGTACTGTGCTGGTGGCTTTACAGCCATTTTTCATTTGTTATTCACAGCAGTCCTGTGAAGTAATGACTGTGGTTTGATGTTATTGTTATTAAGGAAACTGAGCCTTAGAAAAGTTACTTGTCCAAGGTATTAGAGCCACAAACCCGGGTCTCACTGGCCCAACAAATATTTGTTGGGTTTTAGTGTCAGTCGCTAAGAGCACAGGGGACTGAGACAAGGAGCTCAGGCAGCTTATGGTTTAGTATGGGGACACTTAAGAGCAGGGCTCTGACCCTAATATGGACAAAGTGCTCTTAGGACACAGAAAAAGGAGTGATTGGTCTTGCTTGGGAAGACATTAGAGAGACATTAGGGAGGAGGCAATATCTGAACCAGACTTTGACCGATGAGTAGGTTTTCAGGAGGTTTGGGAGGTGACAGCTAACGGTAGGAGTGCTAGTGGAGAAAATAAAGGCACAGAGATGTGATAGTACAGTCATTCATCCAGCCCCTCAACGAGTATTTACTGAGCGCCTGCTCTGGGCCAGGAATTGTGCTAGGCTATGTGGTGTCACAGTGGAGACCAAGACAGGCTTGTGGAGCTTATGGTCTAGTGGGGAAGACTGACAGTAAACAAAGAACACGATAGTTTCAGGCAGTAAGAAGCGCTCTGAAGACGATAAACAGGGTGTAATGTTACAGTGTAATTGGGCAGAGGATTTCTTTAGATTGCGGTGTTCAGGCACGAAGAGGTAACCTTTGAAGTAAGTCTTGAATGATGAGAAGGAGGTAAGTCATGTGAATATCAGGGGGCAGATTATTCCAGGCAGAACATTAAGTATAAAGGCCGTGAAACTGGAATGAGCTTGGCGAGTTTGAGAAATACAGATTAATGTGTTGGAGTTACATGGAGAGAAGGGTGTAGTAATAAATGAGACTAAAAAATTGCATATCATTTGATCATAAAGGCCTTTAAGAGGAGCATGAACTTTATTTTCTAGATGGATAATTTTTAAGCAGATGAAGGAAATAGTCGTATCTTGATTTAGAAAGTAAATTCTGGTTGCATTGTGGGATAGGATTGATAAGAGGAGAACTAAAGGCAGAGAGGTGAGTTAAGGGCTATTACAATAGTCCAGAGCCAGGATGATGAAGGCCTCGACCAGAGCAATGGCTATAAGAATGGAGAGAATGGGATGGACTTAATGAAATTTGCAAGTTAAATTGGCAGGGGTTGGTCTCGGTAGATGTAAGAACTCCAAAGAGACTGAATTTTCCAAATTTGGCAACTTGGTGATGCCATCAGTCAATATAAGGAGGATAGGAGTTGAGTTCATGATATAAATAATGCGATTCATTGGGACACAGTGAAATGGAAGTGCTCTGGGATGAAGATGTCCAATAGATAGGTGAAAATACAACTTTGATGGTCAGAGTTGAACAGGATTGTACAGTTGATAGTTAGGAAACTTCAGAGTGGATGAGCTTGTCCAATTCAGTTTAGTTCAGCAAGCATAGACAAGGGGAAAGGAAGAGAATTGAACCCTGGGGAAAACCAGTGTTTAATAGTAGTAAAGAGACCAAGAAATAGCAGTTAGAGAGGCAGGCATAAAACTGGGAGGGAATAGTATGATAAAAGCTACAAGACGAGAGTTTCAAGCTGTAGAGCTTCAGACAGCCCAAGTTAGGATGGGGAATGAAAAGAGACACCTGCATTTGTGACCTAGGGTGGACTTCGGTGGGTGGAAGAGAAATTGTGAATTGAGGAAATAAGAAAGCAAGTGTGAACTAACTTTTTCAGAGGGGTTGGCAATGAAAGGAAGGTGAGAAAGCATCAGAGAGAAAGCAAGTTAAGGGAAAAAGATTTTTTAAGGTAGGGATTCTGCAGCTTATTTAGACTAGGAGAAGGATTTGATGGAAAGAGGATTAGGGATGCAGAAATGGATATGTTGATAAAGGAGGTCCTAAAGGGAGGTGGAAAGAGGCCAGTGGAGGGGTATTCCTTCCTATCAGTCAGAAGGAAACCACTATAGGATGAATGCAGTAGTTAGAAGTTAAAGGGGAAGGAAGTTAGGCATTTGTGCACGTTGCCTTTATTTTCTAAGTTAAAGGTCAGTTCTTATACTGTAAGGGTGGAGGGTGATATTGGGGTTTAGGGGATTGGAGGGATAGAGTTAAGGTTTGGAACAGTCTTGTGGAGAATGAGAATAGTTCCATTAGTGGGGAGCACATTGAACTGTGTCAGGAGACCTGGGCTCTGGCTTTTTAGTGCTTACCAACTGGCTGTGTGATCATGGGCAAGTCAGAGAGCTTCTCTATGCCTCAGTTTCCTTTTCTGTTAAGCCAAAGTATGGGGTTAGATAAGTATTTTTCAAACTGTGCCTTCTGGAGGGGAAGAAAGATTCCACTAAATTGAAATAGAGAATTTGGAAACCACTGGACTGTATTCTAAGGTCCTTTCCAGCAACAATGTTGTACTTAGCTGTTGTAGAAATAAATTATTTCTTTATAAGTCTTATGGATCTCGCTTTCAATGAGTAAACTGTTGCAATTGCAGAGTATGTTACTGTAAGTCAGTGGTTTTCAGACTGGGTTTCCTGGAGCTGCCTCTCATTCTCTGGGGCATCTCAGTGGCTACTGAGAGGTCTGGGGGAGGTCCATGGCAAGGATTCGAGACTCCAGGCCCCATAGTTGTGTATTTTGCATATTGAGGATCCACATAGGCTTTTATTTTTTTAAAAAAAAGGTTTCTTCAGTGTAAATTATTCTAGTTTTCATTCTTTCATCTTTTTTTGGTTCGTTTGTTACAAATGACTAGCTGACCAGTGTGTCCAGTACCTTAGAGACAACCTTAGGATGAACACTCCACAGATCTCTTTAATAAGGTTTATAGAAATGGAAAACTCAGTCCTTGTTTATTTAATTTGTTACAATGATTTGCAGCCGTTTAATGATTGAAATCACGACTTCTAAGCAATAATTCCCTTATCTAAAAGTCCTTCATGTTTTGGTATTAGAGGACTATTAAAATTAAGTATTCTGTTACATTTGAGGTGTCTGAAACATGCCATTTCTAGCTCATTGTATTAGAAGTGAATTTGCTGACCAAAATTGAGAATCTTTTTCATTTGTTTTGACTTGAAAATAATTTGTTGTAGAGGTAAAACTCACGGGAGTGGGTGAAGGGAAAGCGGTATATCATCTCCAGGTAAACAAGGATATGATTGTCGTCCTTGTTGAGAAACATTTGAAAATATAAATTTATTTTTTCAAAATCATATTGTGCTCCCATAAACTATCCCTGTTAGTAACAGAGATATAGCCTTCCTTATATCTCATGCTCTAAAGATCTTATGTATTAAACTCTCAAAAGCAAATCTACTTCCCAACCCCATTCCCCTCCCCTCCAGTCCCTTCAGCACACATATAGAAGCTAGACCGGGACCCTCTTAGGATTTCCACTTTACTCTGGACAACCTTCATCCTAGCCTTGGAGGAACAGTGAGTAGAAAGCATTCAGTGATTGCATGTGTGAGGACTGTAAACAGAGTTTTTGTTGGGCCCTAATCTTCACTGATGTAATTTTGGCTGGAGTGTCAGAAGGCCGATCAGCTGAAGTAATAACCAAAATCTCTCCTGAAGGAAAACAGATCTGCTACAGTTAGCAGCTGAAGTGAAAATCATCAGTGTCTCTCTTATACTTCTGTCTTCCAAACTATATCTTATCCGATTTCCTTGTTTCGAACCTAGACCACCAGGCAGAAATCACTGGGTTCTTCAGTGATGTCGCTGAGATGCTTTTTACTCTATGTAAGGATTTCTTTTTCCCACTGAACATCTGGGCTTGTCCTGGCCCGTCAGTTCTATGCCGGGCTCTGTTGGACCTCACTCGTTTGTTCTGGGCTCCAGCCACTCCCATCTTGTAGTTGAGAAAAGCATGGCCTTAAAATTTGGTCTCCAAAGTTCCTTTGTAGGATTTATCTATTTCCTGCTTTGGAGGCTTTTGCACACCAGAAATATTAGTTGCCATAGCAAAAGCCATACTTTTGCGCTAACTGATAAGTATTCTCTTAAGGGCCTCTGAGGCAGAAAAACCTTTCTGCATTAATACAGATGTTCTTCTGAAGATTCCATACTTTTTCTGTCCATTCTCCCAAGAAAGTTGTTAAAAAGTTCAAAGAGGTAAGGTATAAGAGTGGGAAACTTGATTTTTCTATTCTTGTTTGATTTTTTTCCCCATGGTAATAATGAGAAAATAAGTAGGATTCTCCCTTTCTGATTCTTTTAATAGAAAAAAAAATCTCATGTACAATTGAGAATGAATCTTTATTCAGTGACTATATGAGGGGCTTCATTTTTCTTAGCCTTTCTAATAGAAATATCCTCAAAGGCCACTTTGAGAGAGGCAAGTACACATTTGCTAGGCTTACCATGCTGTCTCATAATGGTATGTTGTTTTGGATTTCTATAGCAAAGTGCAGGCCCGAATAGCATTCTCTGCCTATCTCCAGCATGTTCAAATTCGCCTGATGAAAGACAGTGGAGGTCAGACGTTCAGTGCCAGTTGGGCTGCCAAAGAGGATGAACAGATGGTGAGGCTCTTCTTGTTGGAACCTTTTTACTTTCCCTTTTTTTCTTTTCTTTTTGTTTTTTCTATTAAGGTAAAGAGCAATATATTTTTCTGGTGAAAGAATTATTCTATACTATAGCTTATAGATTTCTCTTACTGTAATGTAAAGTACATCTTTGATCTGGAGCCATGTTCATCACAATATGTGTTGAGGCCATCAATTTGTTTCATTCTGAAAATGGAAATTGATTGCTCATTAGATGTCAGGCCCTGTGCAAAACCCTTGAAAAGAATAACAATTTATAGAGATCTTTCTCAAACAACTTCACGTTTTGTTAACTCTTTGAGGGAGGCACTGTCATCCTCGTTTCGCAAATGGAAACAAAGACCCAGAGAAGGGAAGTAACTTGCCTGTTGTCCCACAGCTTGTATGTGGTGAAACTGGAACTTGAACCCAGATATTATAATTGTACATTACTTACTCTTCCATTGTTTCCATGCATCATAAGCCATTTATTTTCTGTCCTGAGGGGTCGAATTAGCTCTTTGAAAGTCAACACTTTATCATAGGCCCTCTAAGAATGTACCATCCTCCATTTTAACATTTTTTCTTTACTAGTTGTAACTTCATAAGATTCTTAGATTACTGGAAACAAACTTGTGTAATAATTTTTACTGTATATCGGTCATTTGAACATGCCTAGAATTTAATATTCTAGCAAGGTTTTTCTTTTTGGATCAGAATGACAGGGAGCTTCAAGCTCTTTGGTAAGGTCAACACTTATAGAAGAAGCCACAGTCCTTCCATAGCCTTTTTAACCACAGGGATCTGTTACTGAAAATAGAGGGATCTTTAAATCTGAAAAAGCTGCATCGTTTGTCCAACTCAGTGGTGACCCTACCATAATTTTCAGTTCTCCATATACAAGAGGCATACAGTATGCCAGGCTTATTATAAAAACATGATGGATATCCCAGAAAACAACTTGTGAATTTAAAGTAGCCAATACAACCCAGAGATAAAACCTTGTGTGTTATGAATAATCCTTCAACCATCAGTGGAAAATGTTAGCTCTGCTCTTTCCAAGTGGAAAATTGAAACTGCCTTTTTTGAGAGTCGGTTTGCTCCACTGTGAAAAAATAATGTTTTAATACAACAGCTTAAACCACCGTATAGTCAACACAGCAGAGTAGAGCTACGAAAGCCAGCCCTCTGGTTGTGAAGCTCTTCCTTGATGCTGGAGTAAATTGGCACCAAAGGACAGTGAACCAAAATCAAATTCAAGAAGAAAAAGATAGCTCAGAAGAGGAGAGCCACTGCCGCTACTGGCTTAGAGCTGACACCGGATTTCATGGGGCTTTTTACAAGAATATTTAGGATCACCACTGTAAAACTTATGACCAGTTGTGTGCATTCCTTTTAGAAAATGTTTCTAGAGAGCAAACCGTAACCCCATTACCTGATGATTGTGGCCTTGTTTATGAGGAAGGTAGGTATAAAATTGCCTTCTCTGCTTCAGGTTAAGACTAGAGATTCTTTATCACATAACTCACAGAAGGCACATCAATAGAAGGTCCCAAAATCTATCATCTTAAGGCAATTTTATTGTATTTGGAGTAGGAGGGAAGGAACAACCACCTTTAAGGCCCTTGGCTTTGCAAAATCTCTCGTTGAAGCGTTTGTGATGCTGTGAATGATCTGATTGGTATCTGTTCAGATTTCAAAATCCTTTACCCCGTCTCAAGTGAGATCTTCCCCTGAATGACCTTCCACTGTGTCCTCCTTGCCAATCCCAGCTCTAAAAGCTCCGTTGTCCTTGGGGAAGAAGAAGAAAAAAAGCTGTCAACTTTCAAGCATAGTAGTGGTTCTTCTTTCCCTTTATCACTGAACTGTTGAAGTCAGTAGTTTCTGCTCTTCATCTATATTCTTCATGACCCGTGCATTTCTTAAACCCTTCTCCTATTCCCTTTACTGTACTGAGAGTGTTCTCTTGAAATTATCTCATGCTGGCCAGATCCTGGGCCTTGTCTTGGTTATGGTCCTTTCCAGCTCCAGCCTCTTGGAAGCTTTTGACATGGTACCCTTTCCTCCCTTGGTTTGCATGACAGTAGTGTCTCCTGGCTTTCTTTCTACATTTCTGATGTTTCTACTATGGGGTTTTTTTGGTTGTTTTTTTTTTTTTTTTTTTCTGATTCTTCCTCCTCTTTCCTATCTCTGAGTGTGAATGTTTCTGTATTCTTTCTCTGCCTTCTCACTTTGATGACCTCATCTGCTCTCATGGTTTTAGTTTCCACTACCTATCCTTGAATGCTTTTCCCTAAATGCTTTCTTTGATCACCCTATCCAAATGATATCTGTACTTTGAATTATTATAGTACTATTTGTATATGCATTATGGTTCTTTTACAGCCACTACTTTATTACATAGTTATTTGCATACCTTTTTGATTTTCTGATTACTAGCTTATTGAGGGAAGAGAACAAGTTTCTTTTGTTTTGTTTTGTCTTTCTGTATCCTTCTTATACCTAACATGTTTGCTCTGGGTCTTATTTGTGGAAATGTATAGTATACATCTTCTCACATCTCTGTTGTGTAATCCCTCCATAGCTTGTCTTCTATTGCTTAGCACAATCCCTGCTTTTTCCCCCAATGACTCTTAATTTATAGGAGCTGGTGGTTCGTTTCCTCAAGCGAGCATCAAGTAACCTCCAGCACTCACTGAGAATGGTATTACCCAGTCGACGACTGGCACTTCTGGAACGTAGAAGAATCCTGGCCCACCAACTGGGTGACTTTATCATTGTGTACAACAAGGTAGGTGGTTTATTTGTTAGTCTTGTGCTTTAGATTGCCACACACTATCCGAAACAGGCTAGAAGCCTCTGTCAGGCTGGGCAGGGAGGTCCTTCTTCTCTTTTGTAGCATCATTATCCACTGTTTGTGACTGATATGGGGAGCAGGACCTCACTTCTTAACCTAGCTGAGCTGAAAAGCTGCTTATCACTTCTGAAGGCCCAGTGGCCGTAGTTAATGCTTATTGAAAGGCATATTCCTTTTGAGTGCTCTTTACACCTGAGATGAATCCTGGGCTATGTGAATTTGCATTGTCATTATTCTGCCTGTAGACAGTGGTGAATTGACTACTTGAGAGCAAATTTGAACTGTGGAGTTAATATAATGAAATAATCTTCTTTCCTGAGAGAGTTATACTTTGTTCTCTAGAATGTTTTATACAATGACATCATTTTACAGCTAAGCCCAGGAAATATACTATTTAGTTAGACTGTTTTGCAAAGCATCTTATAGCCAAGGGTCTCAGAATGCTTTAGAAATATCATTTTTGGGGGGAAAAAACATGGTCATTTTGCAGAAAGGAAAGCTGAGGCCTAGAAATTTAAATGGCTTTTGTAAAGATGTGTGGAATGGTTAGTAGAATGTCAGCACACCAAATCCATAGCCACAATTTACTCCAGATCTATTGAGAATTTTGGTATGTCTTATATAAGTGAAGAATTTATTCAGTTTGGATGCTGGTATAGGAGTATCTTCCAAGACCTATCTCTCCTTTCTCTAATTGTAACAAAATACAATGTCTCTGTTGTTATACTGTTAAAGCTGCAAGTGTGACTATAGACATTACTAAGCTACTATAAAAAGCTCCTTTCTCAATGGACTATGTGACTAGAAAGTAAAAACATGGTAAAAATTTACATTTATTCTGCAGCTTTTACTGGGAAATTCTAAAATGTTTCATGAAATAAGGGTAGAAAGTAATATATCAGATTTGTAGATGGCAAAAGTATATGGAGGAATTAAATGTCTTTACTATAAAGACAAATTAGGGGCTGGCCTGGTGGCATAGTGGTTAAGTGTGCTTGCTCCACTTTGGCAGCCCAGGCATCTCGGGTTCAGATCCTGGGCGTGCACGGATGCACCACTTGTCAAGCCATACTGTGGCGGCATCCCATATAAAGTAGAGGAAGATGGGCACGGATAGGGCCAATCTTTCTCAGCAAAAAGAGGAGGATTGGCATTGGATGTTAGCTCAGGGCTAATCTTCCTCAGCAAAAAAAAAAAAAAGAGAGAGAAAAAAAACAATTAACCCAAGGGTAGTGAAACCAGATGGTGAAGTATGCATTTATCAAGAATCAGTTTTATCTTGTTTTTCTGTGGGGTGGGGACTGGGTAGGAAACAGAACAAATGGCTGAAAAGAAATCAAAGAAGAAACTTGAAGAAGAAGAGGAAGATGGGGTGAATATGGAAAACTTTCAGGAGTTCATCAAACAAGCAAGGTAGAAGACATTCTTGATTAATAAAAACTGTCTTATTCCAGTTTCCATACTGCTCCATTGAATTCCCAGTATTCCCTTATTTCTTACATATGGATGTGAGTAAAATCACTCTTAGAAGGAGAAAAGAGTTTCCTAGGCTTGGCCTCTCCATATCTCAGCCAATTATGTTGCTGTTGTCATGGTTTCAGTTATCAAAACACTGCTGCTGGATATCTGGGCTGTATTTCTAGCCAGACTTCAAAATACACACCACTGGAAGTGCTGAGAGAGCCCTTTGGAAAGTTGGAGTTAGAGGCTTCTCGTGTTTACTGGATCTGAATTTATCCCTGACCTACTGATGCAGTGGAGATGACCAAATTTTGCCTACATTGAGTGGGTTGAGGAATTGGCAATTTCTCAGCACTCTGGTTACGCCTAATTTATATAAAATAGAACAAGTCCTTCATGCTTAGGGTTAGGCTTTAGGGATTGAAAATCTCAGCATTCAGCTGTCTATCTTGATGCAAATCAGCCAGGCTATTTGGTCCTATTACAGTGTGTTTCCAAAGGAAGAGGTAACAAAGACATTTAATTTTAAATTTTGTAAGACTTACACTGGAAGGCCTTGTTCTAAAACAGAGAGTTGTGCAAGACTACTCAAAGGTGAAACATCTGTGTAACACCATTAATTAGGCTTCAGCTATCTAAGTCACAGTAGGGGGAAAAGTGGTAAAAAATCAGCTCTGTTGATTTGTGAAGTTAAGTCGGGTGGTGGTTTATCAGTCACCAGCATAGTATGATCTGTGTTTAATACCTTGTACAGACTAACTAACTGTAGCCATAGTATCATGTGCTTAAACGCACAGCGAACAAACACATCACTTTTGCAGGAGTTCATAATTGTGTAATGTGATTTTGTTGACATTCTTGGGTCTTGAGTAATATGGTTGATAAAGCAGGTATAGAAACAATTTCTCACACCAACATTGTAAACATAGAAAAGGAAAAAAACTAGATTATGTTCAGAAAATGGCTCCACTTTTAAAGTTAAAAGTTTAATTTCTAGGGCCGGCTCCGTGGCTTAGCGGTTAAGTGCGCGCGCTCTGATGCTGGCGGCCCGGGTTCGGATCCCGGGCGCGCCCCAAGGCACCACTTCTCCGTCCAGCGCGAGGCCGAGTCCCACGTACAGCAACTAGAAGGATGTGAACCTATGACATACAACTATCTGCTGGGGCTTTGGGGGGAAAAAA